GGGGCAGGGCACCCCCTCCACTAGACCAGGTTGCCCAAAGCCCCATCCAACCTGGCCTTGAACACTTCCAAGGATGGGGCATGCACAACTTCTCTGGGCAACCTGTGCCAGTGTCCAACCACTCTAACAGTGAAGAATTTCTCCTAACATCTAATCTAAATCGACCCTCTTTTAGTTTAAACCCATTACCCCTTGTCCTGTCACTACACCCCCCTGATAAACAGTCCCTCACCATCTTTCCTGTAAGACCCCCTTTAGGTACTGGAAGGCCGCAATTAGATCTCCCCGGAACCTTCTCTTCTCCAGGCTGAACAACCCCAACTCTCTCAGCCTGTCCTCACAGGAGAGGTGCTCCAGCCCTCCAATCAGCTTCGTGGCCTCCTCTGGACTCTCTCCAACAGTTCAAAGTCTTTCTTGTACTGGGACCCCCAGAGCTGGACGCAGTACTCCAGGTGGGGTCTCACCAGAGCGGAGTAGAGGGGCAGGATCACCTCCCTTGACCTGCTGGTCACGCCTCTTTTGATGCTGTACACAAATGCTTTGATGCTTTTGATGCAGCCCAGGACACGGTTGGCTTTCTGGGCTGCAAGCGCACACTGCCGGCTCATGTTGAGCTTCGCCTTCACCAGCACCCCCAAGTCCTTCTCCTCGGGGCTGCTTTCAATTCATTCCCCGCCCAGCCTATAGCTGTGCTTGGGATTGCCCAGATCCCCATGCAGGACCTTGCACCTGGCCTTGTTGAACTTCATGCGGTTCACACGGGCCCACCTCTCCAGCCTGTCAAGGTCCCTCTGGATGGCATCCCTTCCCTCCAGTATGTCAACCACACCACACAGCTTGGTGTCATCGGCAAACTTGCTGAGGGTGCACTCCATCCCACTGTCCACATTGCCAACAAAGACATTAAACAGCGCCAGTCCCAGTACCGACCCCTGAAGAACGCCACTTGTCGCTGATCTCCACTTGGACATTGAGCCATTGACCACAACTCTTTGAGTGCAACCATCCAGCCAATTCCTTATCCACCGAGTGGTCCACCCATTGACTCCATGTCTCTCCAATGTAGAGACAAGGATGTCATGTGGGACAGTGTGAAATGCTTTGCACAGGTCCAGGTAGATGACGTCTGTCACTCTTCCCTTGTCCACCAAGGCTGTAACCCCATCATAGAAGGACAAGTCTTATCCTCCAGCCTTTCCTGCTCATATGGCATTCATTAAAGTAGGTGAACATGGTACACTAAGACTCTAACTTGCAAGGGCAGTAGGAAGGAGCAGCATTGCCTGCTCTACTCTTCATACTGATAGGAAGCATCAAGTGTAATTCAAGCGATCCCACCAGTGCAACTTGGCCCTAAGGACAGTGAGAGTTGTCTCCTTGGATCCATCCCAGCAAAGCACTTTACCTACACATCTGTCTGAAAGGTTAGAAAGATCAATCTGACCTCCCTGGAAGTTACTAGAAATACGATTTCAATGGGATCTGTGTCTGCTCCCAAAAGTAATAATGGTGATAATTGAAAAAGCAATAAGGGATGCCTTGGTGTTATATTATGTCTTCAGTAAGTGGATTGGTTTCTCTCTGAAAAGGAAATGCTGGAAATAATGTATTTGTTTTGCCTCACTCAAGCTCAACTTGAAGTTGTGGTGAGGGAATGTGTGTGGGAAGAAATCACTAAATAACCAGACCATCACAGTTATTGTAAGTATTGCATCAGGGATGGGTGGTATATTGGTTACTGTGCAAATGCAGGGATCAGGGATAATTTTTGGCCTTAGGCTGTGAAGAAAGTTCAGGTGGATTGGAGCTCAGGGGATAATTTTTCACAAGTTTCTGCTTTTTTACAGTGCTGGTCAGATTTATTTTTTAGAATTTTCTTCTCCCCAGAAACCACTCAGCACTAAGACACTGCTGGGACCTTGCTGGTGGAAAGGAGGAATTTCTTTAAAGGCTGCCTCTGTGTCCCAGCATCCAGCCGGGGAACCACTCCTGCTGATCCAGTCCTCTCTCCCTCCTTACCCCTCAGGCCCGGGCACACCCTGTCCTGTTAGCTCTCCTCCCAGCAGCACTGGACCGTACCTGGTGAGCATGGAGTGCTAGGATTGCTCCTCCTGGCTTGGGCTGCAGGAGGAAAGGGGCACTCAGGTAGCTGGGCGCAGTAGGAGCAGTATGTGTGGCCACATGCACCATGGAAAATCACAGGTGATTGCCTTAGCAAACAGCTTGTGAAAGTGTCGGGTAGCTGTGCCTAGGACTTCCACACTGGCTGGGTGTTGTTTTCTCTGCTGGGAACCTCAAGCTATTCCCTTCTGTTAAATGATTCCCTTCCCTTTTCAAATACAATCCCTGAGATTTTGTTTCCAGCAGGTCTTTTTTTAGCCTTTAAAATGCCACCTCAGCCACCACCAAAGCAGAGACCTCTTCAAACCTTCAGCCCTGGCTCACTTATTCTTTGCAGTGTGGAAAACTACAGTTTAAGGTCCATGATGCCCCTTAGTGCATAGCGGGAGGAAAAGGAATTGTGTTTCTGTTTAGGTAAGCAAGGCAGCTGCTGCACAGAGGAGATTCCATCCTCGTCTTCAAAGGCAGCTCAATAACCTCAGCAGACTCCCACTCTTCAAACCTCAGGACAATTACAGGTCAGCATTCAGAGACCATAATGCTGCAGGTACATTGCATCTGCAAATGACTTGCTTGTAAGCCAGTCCTCAAACACACACGCTTCAGTCCACCCATTTCCAGGCCTGAGTTTCCCAGGGATGAGCTCTTGTTAAGGTCTCCTTGCCATATTTAAAGTGAGGAAGTCTGGAGCACGACCCTCCTGGGACTGTGCTTTGCCTTGCAGACAGAAATGGGGCAGAGCAGATTTGACCAGCAACGCAGTGGCCCCAGGCAGAGGCTGAGCATTGTCTCACACACAGCTCTCTGTGGAACCAACGCTTTGGTGGGAGCTTGGCAGAGCAGGAGTCTGTGTTCTGGAAACACCCTGCCCTTACCAGGGACCCCAGACCCTCTGAAAGGTTTCTTCCTCAATGAGGAAAAAGTCTTGATTGAACACCTGCAGTTGTCTTAAAATAATTATCACCAGAAACTTCCGCGGACCCAGGGGCTCTGCAGAGACTAATCTGATCCCTTTGCAGTTCTCTCTAGGAACCTCAAGAAAATATAGAAAATCAGCCCCAATCAGACTAGAGGACACAATAAGGTTTAGAGGAGATAAGGAAGGCAAGACAGCCTGCAGAGTAGCCCAGGCTCCTTAATGATGTATTTTAACACATGGAAAGAGGGGGCACAAACCAGGATGGGGATAGACTCCTGAAGTAAGGAACTTGAGCAACAGGATGTATTGGTCCTGTTGGACAAGCAAGTCCACAGGAATGGCTAGTTTAGCTGGGGGCCAGAAGGACTTGGGGTTGACAGGGGGTCAGTGAGAAAAAGCGGAAGCAAATTGCCAGCCTGCACACAGCAGCTGCTCTACCTGCCTCCACAGCATCATGCCCTGGGGCTCACATGCTTAAAAAAACTGTTGATAGACCACAGGGAGAATAAAACACGCCCACCATAATGGAGCAAAGACTGGAGGAAACCCATGGCAGGCTCAGACTGCAGAGCTGCTGTGACTGTGGTGCACTGCTCGCTGCCAGGGAGGCAGTATCTGGTGCCAAGTGCTCTTCAGTTCAGCTGAAGGAAAGGCATTGCAATAGCCTACACATGAACATGAATGCCAGATGAATTCAAAGCAGGCATCTATTTTAAATGGTCAGGATAATTAGACCATGGAACAATTTCCTGTGAGAAGCAGTAGATTTGCATCTCTTGGTGCCTGCTGCTGAAGAGGGTGTGCTTTTCTTAAGGATGTACTTCTAGCCAGGAATAAACTGGTGACACAGTTCAGTGCACTACCTGTGTCAATCTAGAAAATTTAAAATCTTTTTATCTGGAAATACACTGTGCATATATGCTGTCCCACAGGTATTTTGCCTCAAGACAGTTTGCTCTACCTGACTACCCGAGTTTGTGTTATTTCGTCAAATTTCACCATGTTATTGTTACCACATTAGGAGAAAGGAGAGGAAAGGTGGCTGCAGAAATACTTAAATCCACGACAATGTCCTAGAAACCTGGCTTGGAGAAAGGTTGTAAGCATCTAAAGCATCCTTCAACTCGGGCTTTCCAGACCCTAACAATTTAACCCACACAACACCCTGGAGAAGGGGGACAGAGTTTTGCAGAGGAGAAATCTGCAGCAGGGAGGTGAGGCAAGCTCAACTTGATTGCACAATGAGGTGCTAAGTAAGGCAGGAATAGAAACCACGGGCTCTGGCTCCCAGCCCTGCATTTTAATCCCTGAGCTGTTCTTCCGGATGCTAGCAGCCCTCTGGGGCCAAAAGCATGAAAAAGAGGCACTTACAGCTTTCCCATTTTCCAGCCAGGTGACAGTGGGGACTGGAAGGCCGGCTGCTGCACACCGCAACGTCACCACAGAACCAAAGGTGATATTTTGGGATTCAGGAGCCTTCAGGATTCTGGCAAAAACTGTGGGAGAAGACAAAGGTGCTAGTTGAACTGCAATGTAAAGCTGAGGCTGTGTTGACGTGGGGATGCTTCCTCCCCAACAGGTCTTGAAACAAGCCATGGGCCCACGAACAAAGGCAGAGCATAGCATGGGCTTCCCAGTGAGCAACAGTCTTGGGAGAGGGACAAGGAGAAGAAAGAAAGTTACCGGCATGGTTATGTTCTGCACCTTATAGACCAAAATTTTACCTCTGGAAATTTCTACATCATCTGAGTACAATGCCTCAGAGGAGGTAACATGCAAAAAGCCAAGGGCAAACTCATCAGTAGCACTCAGATGGGACAGCTTACACCAAATACACGGCAAGTTACCATGCTGCCCAGCCAAGGGTGACCTCATGCGAAACTTGTTCAAAACCATCAACAGAGACCACCAGTGTGGTCACATACCGTGAAGGTTAAGGGTCAGATAAGCTCTTCAGTGTGATCGCAGTGATTAAGACTTACCATGGAGAGCTGCAAACCCCAGCATTTTCCCTGCCACAGCAACCTGTCCTAAGAGGAGAGAGTCTAACATTGAGTTCTGGGGGAATGGCCAGCAAAGACTTTGGGAATCTGAGATTGCAGGGGGAAAGTAGGTTTTTAAAGTGACTTTTCACCTCTATTGCTCTTGCTTGTTTTGTGGCAATATGCTTACTAAGCAGTTTGAAGATAAGCTAAGCACCTCCCTGCTTTTTTTTTTTTTTTTTTTTTTTTGGTGAAAATAAGAACTGAAGTATTTTTGCTGAAAACTTATTTTGATCCAGACACACAAGTCTGATGGCCTTCGCAAGCTGTATTTCAGCTGCTATACTTGGACCACATAAAGGAAAGCAGAGAAGAGAGACATTTCCCATGTGGAACAGTTGAGTTTTGAGTCAAAATTTTTAATGGAGAAGCCTGAATGTCTGTGCAGAAGCACACTGAATAGCTCTGTGCCATTTCTTACTCCAATTTCTCATGCTTAGTGATTAATGCTCACTCTCTACCTTCTGGGCTGCACAGCAATGTATAAAAGTCTCCATCAGAAATTTTAGTAAGCAATGGAGTTTCTCTTGTAGTTCTCAGACAAGCCTGATATCTTGTTTGCCACTTTCGCTAACTGCATGGTTCCCCTTACCAACATATCTGATGATGTCACAGTCTTCTGCATGTCTGCTCACCTGACAAACCTCCTGGCACTGGCCCACTGGTTGCTCCCAGATGGAGACCTCTGCTGCACAGCAATTAGGAGAGCAATGAGGGTCCCTTCAGAAACTGAACATCTACCCCTGCCATTTGAGGTGTGAAGGCTGCATCTGCAAAATTTCAGTTGGAATAAAAAAGTATATGCTGTCTACATAGTCCTTCCACTCAGTCCTGGCCTGGGAAGGGACTGAGATCTGTGTTAAGAAAGAGCCTAACACCATCTTTTTCTCATGGATAGGCAGCACTAGGAATACATTTCAGCGCAGAAATTTTTTTGTGTTAGGAGCACAGCCATTCAATAGGCTCCGGGGCAGGGGTTTTTAAGAAGATTAAATTTAATGACAGTGAAGTGAAAAGGGTGGGAGGATGTGTATACTATTCAGCTTCTTAATTTCTCTACAGTCTCCGAGCAGTTCCTCACTGCCGATGCTTGGTGCCACTTGCTTAAAATCAAAGCAGAACAGGGTCAGGGCTGCTGCGTCCCCCTGTCCCTCAGCAAGGCAGCAAGTACGAAGCTCCACCACTAACAAGAAAAGCTGCAGTCACTGGCCAGGGACTTTCCTGATGAATAATAAGTGAAATGAAACCTTTGCCTGAAGTTTCACTTCAGGCCATTAACACCAGATGGTTACGAATTCAGCCCTGAGTGCCCCAGGCCAAGCTCATAATTACTTTTATACTTTATTTGGAGAAATACTAAACTCTTGGGCCTGTCCCCCAGCAGCAGTTACGTGCACACGGCTCCCACTGAAGCCAGCACGTTAACTCCCAGAGCCAGAATATGTCCCTTAGTGCTTTTCTCATGCTGCTGTTGGTTTCTCAGTGTGCTGCTAGGACCCTGCCCACCTGATGACTCTGATGCTTGGATCCTGTCCAGCTTAATTAATACCAAAGTGATGAATTAACAGCACCCTGTTAGCCAGTGTCAGACACAGGCATGTATGCCTTCCTCTGTACTGGCTGCTCACCCAAAATCTGTGAGGAGCTGTCAGCCAAGAGAAAAACAGGCACGCTTCAAAAATGATGGCAGTTGTGCAGGCGGGAAGCAAAGCCACAGCAAATGCAGCGGCTGGTCCGGCTGACATGTGGCACCTGTGGGGAGGCCAGAAAGCTTCATCCTACTCCCCGGGGACCCCCCGCCAGCACTGATCACAGCACTTGCTTTAGTAGCCCAGCACACTGCTGGCACGAACGCTCATCCACCAGCATAGGGAAAGCAAAGGGTCAGGCCATTCAAGCTTAAAAAAAACAAATACAGGGTTAAAAAAATCCAGCCACAGCTGATAAGCATTCACATGTGGTTTTTTTTGTGGAAAGTACTGCAGGTGTATTATCTAGCACAGGTAGGGATGGCTAAATAAAAGTGGGCCTATGAGGAAATAAGCTGATTTCCGAAGTGTGGAAGAATGGAAGCTCCTGCTACCCTCAGTGCCACCATGTACATTTCCCTGACTTTCAAAACTGAAGTTACAGATTTAATACTTTAATATTTCAAGTACTTACATTTGCATGCTTTTTAAAAGTCTTATACCTAAAGTTTTACTTTAGGTACTTGTGTCTACATACTGTGAATGGAATAACCTGGGGTTTTTTACATTATTTTATTTTTAAGTGAGAAATTCCTTGGAACAAGAGCTGGACACCCCAAGTCCCACTGGGCTTTGGAGTGCCACTGACTGGCACAGCCAAGGACACAATTTCCAAAGGGCTCTTTATTGCTTTGGGAAACAGCATTAAAAAAAATATCATCAGCTGTTTCTCAGCCCCATCATCTATGGGCAGATGATTGATACACTGCTGTTGCCAGCAGGCTCGGGTGCTGTGGGAAAGCCATGACAGGTTTTGCGAGAACAGCCAGTGTCACGTTCCACCAGTATAAAGAGGGGCAAGACCACCAAGATGAGCTCGAGGTCCCTTTTGGCAACTGCATCAGCCAGGAAATCAGTTCTGTAGCTAAATGGAGGAACCCAATGCCCAAAACTATTACTTTCTTCCCCCCCCCTCCCCATATTACACAAAGAAAAGAGGCAAAGGCAAGGAAAAATGGTTACCCTGATGGTGCCAACCTAAGCAACTGGAGGGGAGAGGCAGGTGAAAGGCAGGAAGAAGAAGGAACAGGAGATGGATATACATGTTTGTAAAATTCACATTATTTGGTGGGCTCAGGATATGGTTTTGTTTTCATTTTGCCTGAGAGTGAAAATTCCCAACAATTAGGCAATTTTTAACACGTCCATTACTTGCCTTCTTTTTCCATATCTTCCCAAAGTGACTTTTGCCAGGACCTTCACCTCTTTAGCTACATCACCACAAGGCTAACAACATTCATGTCAAGACTCTCTAGGCTCTCAGCACGGGATTTACCCAAAGGCATGCCAAAAAAACAGTTAACGAAGGCAGGCAAAGAGAGCTTCATTTATTTATTTATTTAAATGGAAAATAAAACAGACGAGCTGGAAATTAAATCCAGCCAGCTAAAAGCAAGCCAGCACGTCAAGTTTCACTCACAAGCCCCCTAATAAATGTCCTTTCTTTTACAGCCCTGCTAAATGATGTGCTGTGCACTGCAGGGCTTGCTAGGAGGTATCTGCACCATGGCCAGCTGCTCTCGTTTCTGAGAATTAGGTAACATCATCCAGTCCAAACAGTAGGGCTTTAATTCAGTCACGAAATTTTTATACTAAAAAAAGATTAAAGCAGGGTGTCCCCCCCAGTCCTCAATTTGAACAGCTAACTCTTTCCAGGTGACTACATTTTCCCGTTGCCTTTGACTGAGCTGTGTTTCATTTCCAGGGTTTGGGGCCCAATCCTGCAATCCTGGCAGATGTCTGCCCCCTCACTGGGTAAGTAAGTCCTGGTTCTTTGTTAAAGTGGGCTGGACTGGGCCACTTGCATCCAGACAGCAGTCTGGGTGGCCTGGGGCCATGCTGCTGCTTTTGGGAAAGGACAAAGTGATGCCCAGAGCTCACAGGAAACCCTCGTGCGCACAGGCCCACTGCAGGACGATGACCTTTTTAGACAGGGTTTCATAAGCCTTGACACTGGCTTTGACACACCAGGCCCAGGCAAGCACTGGTTTTAGGGCGTGGGGTGGTTTTTTTACCCAGAGCCTCCACTGGCTTTGGTGAATCTCGACTTTGAGAGAACACAAACAACATTTGCCAATGTATGTGAATTAACCCAGCTTGTCAACTTCTGCACATATTCATGTCCAAGAGTTTGTTCCTAGTCCTGGTGTACTGTAAAGCATACCTGATAGTCCAGACTGAGATAAGGCCACCAAGAGCTAAACCTGTTTTAGCAACCACCTGACAACAGTAGGAGCACGCCCCCTTCCCACTGCAATCTGAGCCTGGTCTAACACATGAGCCTGACCTGGAGTGTCCATACTGCCAGATTTAATATCTCAACCTGCTCCACTTTCCCTGGTTGTTTTGCTTTTATCACAAAAAATGGCCTTTTGGGTCATTATGGCCAGGTTTTTTCCAATTAAGCTGCAAAATGCAGTGGGTAAAGGCAACTCCTGTGTGCAAAAGGCGTTTTCCTCTGGTACAGCTAGTGCCATCTTGAGAACTGATGTGTCTGCATTGCTGGGGGAATTGGTAAGCTACACATGACCTAGGAAACCTTCCTGATATAAATACTCTGGCAAAGCCTTTGTGCTGCATACTATTCATGTGTAAGCATTTAGGAGCTAAACTGCAAGCATTTTTTTGTTCATATTTGCCAATGTTCCCGCAGCTCTTTTGTACCTGAAGCATGACAGATTGAAATTACTCCTCTACAGAAGAGTT